TTTTTGGGGGGGGGGGTTGGGAAATTCCTGGCAGGAAAAATCCAACCTGGAGCAGGAACGGGAAAATCTGGGAATTCTCCTCCGGAATTTGCGGCGGGAGCTGGAGGAGAGCTCGGAGGAGACGGAGCAGTGGCGGGAAATGTTCCAGAAAAACAAGGAAGAGCTCCGGAATTCCAAGCAGGAGTGAGTCCCGCAGCCCGGGGGGGCCAAAATCCGGAATTTCCGGGGGTTTTCAAAGTCAAATCCCCAAAAATTCGGGAATTTTCTGGGGTTTTCAAAGTCAAATCCCCAAAAAATTGAGAATTTTCGGGGGTTTTCAAAGTCAAATCCCAAAAAATTCGGGAATTTTCTGGGGTTTTCAAAGTCAAATCCCCAAAAATTTGGGGATTTTCTGGGGTTTTCTGCTCTAAATCTCAAAAATTTGGGAATTTTCTGGGGTTTTCTGCTCCAAATCCCAATAAAATGGGGATTTTCCACCCCAAATCCCCAAAAAGTTGGGAATTTTCTGGGGTTTTCAAAGTCAAATCCCCAAAAAATTGAGAATTTTCTGGGGTTTTCAAAGTCAAATCCCAAAAATTTGGGAATTTTCTGGGGTTTTCTGCTCTAAATCCCAAAAATTTGGGAATTTTCTGGGGTTTTCAAAGTCAAATCCCCAAAAATTGGGAATTTTTTGGGGTTTTCTGCTCCAAATCCCCAAAAATTTGGGATTTTTTTTGGGTTTTCAAAGTCAAATCCCAAAAATTTGGGAATTTTCTGGGGTTTTCTGCTCCAAATTCCAATAAAATGGGGATTTTCCACCCCAAATCCCCAAAAAGTTGGGAATTTTCTGGGGTTTTCAAAGTCAAATCCCAAAAATTTGGGAATTTTCTGGGGTTTTCTGCTCTAAATCTCAAAAATCTGGGAATTTTCTGGGGTTTTCCGCTCCCAATCCCAATAAAATGGGGATTTTCTGGGATTTTCCACCCCAAATCTCCAAAAATTTGGGATTTTTTTTGGGTTTTCTGCTCCAAATCCCCAAAATTTGGGAATTTTCTGGGGTTTTCAAAGTCAAATCCCAAAAATTTGAGAGTTTTCTGGGGTTTTCAAAGTCAAATCCCCAAAAATTTGGGAATTTTCTGGGGTTTTCTGCTCTAAATCTCAAAAATCTGGGAATTTTCTGGGGTTTTCTGCTCCAAATCCCCAAAAATTGGGAATTTTTTTGGGTTTTCTGCTCCCAATCCCAATAAAATTGGGATTTTCCGGGATTTTCCACCCCAAATCCCAAAAAATTTGGGAATTTTCTGGGGTTTTCTGCTCCAAATCCCAAAAATTTGGGAATTTTCGGGGGTTTTCAAAGTCAAATCCCAAAAATTTGGGAATTTTCTGGGGTTTTCAAAGTCAAATCCCAAAAAATTTGGGAATTTTTTTGGGTTTTCTGCTCTAAATCCCAAAAATTTGGGAATTTTCTGGGGTTTTCCGCTCCCAATCCCAATAAAATTGGGAATTTCCATGATTTTCCACCCCAAATCTCCAAAAATTTGGGAATTTTTTTGGGTTTTCTGCTCTAAATCCCAAAAATTTGAGAGTTTTTTGGGAATTTCCATGATTTTCCACCCCAAATCTCCAAAAATTTGGGAATTTTTTTGGGTTTTCTGCTCTAAATCCCAAAAATTTGAGAGTTTTCTGGGGTTTTCAAAGTCAAATCCCCAAAAAATTGGGAATTTTCTGGGGTTTTCAAAGTCAAATACGAAAAAATTTGGGAATTTTCTGGGGTTTTCCGCTCCAAATCCCAATAAAATGGAGATTTTCTGGGATTTTCCACCCCAAATCTCCAAAAATTTGGGAATTTTCTGGGGTTTTCTGCTCCAAATCCCCAAAAATTGGGAATTCCGTGGTGTTTTCCACCCCAAATCCCAATAAAATTTGGAATTTCCGGGATTTTCCTCCCCAAATCTCCAAAAATTTGGGAATTTCCCGGGATTTTCCTCCCCAAATCCCCAAAAATTGGGAATTCCGTGGTGTTTTCCACCCCAAATCCCAATAAAATTGGGAATTTTCTGGGGTTTTCCACTCCCAATCCCAATAAAATTGGGAATTTCCGGGATTTTCCACCCCAAATCCCAAAAATTTGGGAATTTTTTGGGGTTTTCTGCTCCAAATCCCCAAAAATTGGGAATTCCGTGGTGTTTTCCACCCCAAATCCCAATAAAATTGGGAATTTCCGGGATTTTCCACCCCAAATCTCCAAAAATTTGGGAATTTCCTGGGATTTTCCTCCCCAAATCTCCAAAAATTTGGGAATTTCCCGGGATTTTCCTCCCTAAATCCCCAAAAATTGGGAATTCCGTGGTGTTTTCCACCCCAAATCCCAATAAAATTGGGAATTTCCGCGATTTTCCACCCCAAACCCCCAAAAACTCGGGAATTTCCCACTCCCAATCCCAAAAAAAAGCGGAATTTTCCAGGATTTTCCGGCATTTTCCACCCCAAATCCCAGCAGAACCGACCCTGGGATATTTTTGGACGCTGGAAATTTGGGAATTTGGGGGAATTTTGGGATTTTCCAGGTTGCTGCAGGCCAGGCTGGAACGGGAGGAATTCGAGGAGGAGCTCCGGGAGCTCCGGGAGCGATTCCAGGCTCGGGAGGATCGGGATCGGAGCAACCCCGAGGAGCTGGAAAAGCTCCGGAAGGTCAGAGAAATCTGGGAATTTTTATCCCAAAATCCGGGAATTTTTATCTCAAAATCCAGGAATTTTTATCCCAAAAATTCAGGATTTTATTCCTTAAAATTCGGGATTTTTTCCTTAAAATTTGGGATTTTTTTCCTTAAAATTCGGGATTTTTTTCCTTAAAATTTGGGATTTTTTCCCCCAAAATTCAGGATTTTTTTCCTTAAAATTCAGGATTTTTATCCCAAAAATTCAGGATTTTATTCCCCAAAACTCAGGAATTTTTATCCCAAAGTTCGGGATTTTATTCCTTAAAATTCGGGATTTTTTTCCTTAAAATTTGGGACTTTTTTCCCCAAAATCCAGGAATTTCTATCCCAAAATTCAGGATTTTTTTCCCCAAAATTCAGGATTTTATTCCCCAAAATTCAGGATTTTATTCCCTAAAATCCAGGAATTTTTATCTCAAAAATTCAGGATTTTATTCCCCAAAATTCAGGATTTTATTTCCCAAAATCCAGGAATTTTTATCCCAAAATCCAGGAATTTTTATCCCAAAATCCAGGAATTTTTATCCCAAAAATTCAGGATTTTATTCCTTAAAATTCGGGATTTTTTCCTTAAAATTTGGGATTTTTTTCCTTAAAATTCAGGATTTTTTCCTTAAAATTTGGGATTTTTTTCCTTAAAATTTGGGATTTTTTTCCCCCAAAATTCAGGATTTTATTCCCCAAAACTCAGGAATTTTTATCCCAAAGTTCGGGATTTTATTCCTTAAAATTTGGGATTTTTTTCCTTAAAATTTGGTATTTTTTCCCCCAAAATCCAGGATTTTATTCCTTAAAATTTGTGATTTTTTTCCCCCAAAATCCAGGAATTTTTATCTAAAAATTCAGGAATTTATTCCCCAAAATTCAGGAATTTTTATCCCAAAAATTCAGGATTTTATTCCTTAAAATTCGGTATTTTTTCCTTAAAATTTGGGATTTTTTTCCTTAAAATTCAGGATTTTTATCCCAAAAATTCAGGAATTTATTCCCAAAAATCCAGGAATTTTTATCCCAAAATTCAGGATTTTTATCCCAAAATTCAGGATTTTATTCCCTAAAATTCGGGATTTTTTTCCCCAAAATTCAGGATTTTATTCCCCAAAATCCAAGAATTTGTTCCATAAAATTCGGGATATTTTTCCCAAAAATTTGGGGTTTTTTTCCCACAAAATTCAGGATTTTATTTCCTAAAATTTGTGATTTTTTCCCCAAAATTTGGGATTTTTTATCCCCAAAATTTGGGATTTTTTTCCCCAAAATTTGGGATTTTTTATCCCCAAAATTCAGGATTTTTTCCCCAAAATTTGGGATTTTTTATCCCCAAAATTTGGGATTTTTTATCCCCAAAATTTGGGATTTTTTCCCTATTTTTGTGATTTTTTCCCCAAAATTTGGGATTTTTCCCCCAAAATTTGGGATTTTTTCCCCAAAATTCGGGATTTTTTTCCCCAAAATTTGGGATTTTTTCCCCAAAATTCAGGGGTTTTATCCCCAAAATTTGGGATTTTTTTCCCTATTTTTGGGATTTTTTTCCCCAAAATTTGGGATTTTTTTATCCCAAAATTCGGGATTTTTTCCCCCAAAATTTGGGATTTTTTCCCCAAAATTCAGGATTTTTTTCCCAAAATTCAGGTTTTTTTATCCCCAAAATTTGGGATTTTTTCCCCAAAATTTGTGATTTTTTCCCCCAAAATTCAGGTTTTTTTACCCCCAAAATTTGGGATTTTTTTCCCCAAAATTTGTGATTTTTTTCCCCAAAATTTGGGATTTTTTTCCCCAAAATTCAGGATTTTTATCCCCAAAATTCAGGGGTTTTTTTCCCCAAAATTTGTGATTTTTTTCCCCAAAATTCGGGATTTTTTTCCCCAAAATTTGGGATTTGTTTCCCCAGAATTCGGGATTTTTTATCCTCAAAATTTGGGATTTTTCCCCCAAAATTTGGGATTTTTTCCCCAAAATTCAGGGTTTTTTATCCCCAAAATTTGGGATTTTTTTTCCCTATTTTTGGGATTTTTTTTCCCCAAAATTCAGGATTTTTACCCCCAAAATTTGGGATTTTTTTCCCAAAAATTTGTGATTTTTTTCCCCAAAATTTGGGATTTTTTATCCCCAAAATTTATGATTTTTTTCCCCAAAATTTGGGATTTTTTATCCCCAAAATTTGGGATTTTTTTCCCTATTTTTGGGATTTTTTATCCCTAAAATTCGGGATTTTATTCCCTAAAATTTGTGATTTTTTTCCCCAAAATTTGGGATCTTTTATCCCCAAAATTCAGGATTTTTTCCCCAAAATTTGGGATTTTTATCCCCAAAATTCAGGATTTTTTCCCCAAATTTGGGATTTTTCCCCCAAATCCAGTTTTTTTTTTCCAGGAAGTTTCCAGTCGGGATCTGGAGCTGGAGAAGCTTCGGAAAGATCTGGAAAAGCTCCGGAAGGAGCTGGAAGAGGCTGCCCAGGTAAAGTTGGGAATTCCCAGGAATTTTTGGGCTGAAATGATCCCAAAAAATCCCAAAAAATTCCAAAAAATTCCCAAAAATTTCCCCCCGTTAAAAAAAATTCCACGAAAAATGGAATAAAAAAGAATTGACACCAAATGTTGTGAAATTGGGGTGAAAGTTTTGAAATAATCCCAAAAAAATTCCTTCAAAATCCAAAAAAATTCCCAAAAAAAGTCCAAAAATTCCCCCCAAAAAAGTAAAAAAATTACCAAAAAAAGTCAAAAAATTCCCCCAAAATTAAAAAAAAAATCTCAAAAAAATCCAAAAAAATAACCCCAAAATCCAAAGAAATCCCAAAAAAATAATCCCAAAAAAATTCTTCCAAAAACCAAAAAAAATCCCAAAAAAAGTCCAAAAATTCCCCCAAAATTAAAAAAAATCCCAAAAAAATCCCCCAAAATCCCAAAAAATTCCCCCCAAAAATTCCCAAAAATTTCCTCCAAAATTGAAAGAAATCCCCCCAAAAAAATCCCAAAAAATTTCTTCTAAATCCAAAGAAATCCCAGAAAATCCCAAAAAAATCCCCAAAAAATTCCCCAAAATCCAAAAAAATTCCCCCAAAAAATTCCTGAAAATTTCCCCCAAAATCCGAAGAAATCCCAAAAAATCCCCCAAAAATTCCCCCAAAATTAAATAAAAAATCCCAAAAAAATTCTCCCAAAATCCAAAGAAATCCTCAAAAAAAATCCCAAAAAGTCTCAAAAAACCCAAAAAAATTCCCCAAAAAAAGTCAAAAAATTCCCCCAAAATTAAATAAAAAATCCCAAAAAAATCCCAAAAAATTTCCCCAAAATCCAAAGAAATCCCAAAAAAAATCCCAAAAAAATACTCCCAAAACCCAAAAAAAATTCCCAAAAAAAGTCAAAAAATTCCCCCAAAATAAATAAAAAATCAAAAAAAAATTCCCCCCAAAATCCAAAGAAATCCCAAAGAAAAAATCCCAAAAAATTCCCGCAAAATCCAAAGAAATCCCAAAAAAAATCCCCAAAAAATTCTCCCAAAAACCAAAAAAAATTCCCAAAAAAAGTCCAAAAATTCCCCTCAAAATTAAAAAAAAATCCCAAAAAAGTAAAAAAATTCCCCCCAAAAAAGTCAAAAAATTCCCAAAAAAAGTCAAAAAATTCCCCCAAAATTAAAAAAAAAAATCCCAAAAAAATCCCAAAAAAATCCCAAAAAATTCCCCCAAAATCCCAAAAAATTCCCCCCAAAAAATTCCCAAAAATTTTCCCCCAAAATCCAAAGAAATCCCCCAAAAAATCCCCATAAAATTCCCCCAAAATTAAATAAAAAATCCCCATAAAATTCCCCCAAAATTAAAAAAAAAATCTCAAAAAATCCCCAAAAATTCCCCCAAAATTCAAGGAAATCCCAAAAAAAAAATCCCCAAAAAATTCTCCCAAAATCCAAAGAAATCCCAAAAAATCCCAAAAAAATTCCCCCCAAAAAAGTCAAAAAATTCCCAAAAAAAGTCCAAAAATTCCCCCAAAATTAAAAAAAAAATCCCAAAAAAATCCCAAAAAAATCCCAAAAAAATCCCAAAAATCCAAAAAAATTCCCAAAAAATTCCCCCAAAAAATTCCCAAAAATTTTCCCCCAAAAATTTTCCCTCTGGATTCCCCCTCAGGCTCGGAATTCCCTGGAATCGTCCCTGGAGGCGTCGGAGGAGGCGCGGAAAGTTCTGGAATCGCGGCTGGAGGAATTCCAGGATCAGCGGGAAAATGGGGAAAAGCTCCAGGAAAAAGTGGCAGCCCTGGAGGTACCGGGATGATCCCAAAAAATCCAATTTCCTTGGAATTCTGGGGGGTTTTAGGGAATTCTGGGGGGTTTTTGGGGAAAAAAACACCCAAAAAAATTCCCAAAAAAATCCCCAAAAAATCCCCAAAAAAATCCCCAAAAATAAAAAAAAATCCAAAAAAAAATCCCCAAAAATAAAAAAAAATCCAAAAAAAAATCCCCAAAAAATAAAAAAAAAACCCCAAAAATCCCCAAGAAATTCCAAAAAATCCCCCAAAAAATCCCAAAAAAAATCTCAAAAAATCCCATAAAAAATAAATAAAAATCCCCAAAAAATCCCCCAAAAAATCCCAAAAAATCCCCAAAAATCCCCAAAAAAATCCCTAAAAAAATCCCAAAAAATCCCATAAAAAATCCCAAAAAATCAAAAAAAAAATCCCCAAACATCCCCCAAAAAATCCCAAAAAAACCAAAAAAAATCCCAAAAAAAATCCAAAAAATCAAAAAAAATTCCCAAAAAATCCCCCAAAAAATCCCAAAAAATCCCATAAAAAATCCCATAAAAAATCCCCAAAAAAATCCCAAAAAAACCCCAAAAAAATTTCCAAAAATCCCAAAAAAATCCCAAAAAATCCCAAAAAATCCCCAAAAAATCCAGAAAAAACCCTTAAAAAATCCCCAAAAAACTCAAAAAAAATCCCAAAAAAACCCGTAAAAAATCCCAAAAAAACCCCAAAAAATCCCAAAAAAAATCCCCAAAAAACCCAAAAAAATCTCCCCAAAATCCCAAGAAATCCCTAAAAAAATCCCCAAAAAATCCCCTAAAAAAGCCCCCAAAAAATCCCAAAAAAATCTCCAAAAAATCACAAAAAATCCCCAAAAATCCCAAAAAACCCCTTAAAAAATCCAAAAAAAATCCCAAAAAATTACTCAAAAAATCCCTAAAAATCCCAAAAAAATCCCAAAAAAATCCCAAAAAATCCCCAAAAATCCCCAAAAATCCCAAAAAAATCCAAAAAAAATCCCAAAAAATTACTCAAAAAATCCCAAAAAATCCAAAAAAAATCCCCAAAAAAATCCCAAAAAAATTCCCAAAAAATCCCAAAAAATCCCTAAAAAACCCCCAAAAAAATCCCAAAAAATCCCAAAAAATCCCAAAAATCCCCCCAAACCCCCCAAATCCC